GGGGGGGAAGACACAAAGAACAGTAACATACAACACAAAGGACTTAAGATGTTTCCCTTGCCTGACCACCATCCAGATGAAACCACCACTGAGTCAAAGACCAGCCAGCAAACTGACTTCCAGGGTAGAGGGAGACTTCCAAGGCCAGCCCATGACTCATCTTTTCATCAATGATTTTAAATCCATGCCCTTGCTCAAAGCTTTGGGCAGGAGCATGGGGGGGTGGGGGGGGCCAAGAAGAGTAACACACAACAAAAAGGACTCCAGAAACTTCCCTCGCCTTACTGCCATCCAGATGAAATCACCATTGTGACGATAACCAGCCAGCCAGCTCACTTCCAGAGTGGAGGGATCTATTTCATTTATTTTGCTCTTCTTATTTAACATAGTCTTAGAATGAGCTTCCAAGTAATTTTCCTATAATGATTTTTATTTTATATACATAATCATTGAGAAACTAAGAGACACTCAATTAAAATGAGAATACACTTCCATCTTTTGTTCAGGGGTGTCACTGGGAATCTTCATTGTCTATACTGTTGGTGGGTTCATCTGTGAGACCATAGGATGGCCGTATGTCTTCTATATCTTTGGTGAGTTGTACTTTTAAACCTCAGAGATTGTAGTGATGATTGAGAATTATAGATTTTATCCTTCTTTCATTAACATAGCTATAATTACCTAAATCATAATGCTATGAATAGGTATATAATTAATAAAGAAGTTTTAGAGTTAATCATGTGATGATTAGTAAAAATAATCTTGCCGACTTCCTGAGTGATAGAATAATTTTGCTGCAGATAAATTTATGTTCTTATCCTGAAGGTTTCTGGATCATCAGTTGCATAAAATATAGACCTTATACATCTTAAGTGCTTTTAGTTAGAGAGAAACTTAATGGAAAGAGTTAAAGAGGAAAGCATGAGTAGAATGAAAGATGCTAACTAGTCTAAGCTTAAAGTGTAAATTAAAAAAAAAACATGAAAAAATTATTTTAGCCTGCAAAATGGTGTATTTCCAAACCTCCTAAAGCTCAGTGGTAAAAATAACAATTTGTTTTTTCATAGTTTTGTCAGATATCAGAACACCACTGGAATCTGTATTTCTCTTATTTCTTTGGATGTTCTTCCCTTTCAAATAGCCACACAGGAATACAAAAACCACATATGCAAGTTATGGTCTTCCAGTGGTTTCTTGTCTTTGTGAAAACCATGTCTCATGACCAACATCAAGTGAAAATGAGGAGAAGCACCTTTCATCTATGAAAGTCCAGTGGAAATGTGTAGATGCAAAAAGGAACAGAGAAATGGGATTAGTCAGTCTGTCAAGAATAGTAGCCATCTCTGGGCAGAGTGAAATAAAATACTCTAGTACAGTGTTCACTGGATCTTTTTTTACTAGGAGCAGTTGGCAGTGTCAGTTGTCTTCTTTCGTTCTCTCTTGTTTATAACAACCCCATGAGTCATCCCTTTATCAGCACTGATGAGAAGACATACATCACCTGTGCACTCGGACAACAGGTACATTGAGGGACCTCCCTACCCCTTGTCATTTCCCACTACATTTGCTTGGAAAGCTCTGATGTGAAGAATGTAGTGGAGGGATCTATCTCTAATAGTTTTGAAAATTGGTATATGCTTTATTTCTAGAATTCTTCTCCAAATTGGTCTCTACCTATTATGGATATGACCAAATCTCTACCACTATGGGCCATATTAGTCTCATATTTTTGTGAATATTGGAGTTTATATGTCATGACATTATATACACCGACATATCTCAATTCTGCACTTCAAGCTAACTTAAAAAATGTAAGTACACAGAAAACTTGTTGGGTTTTTTCTTTTCTTTTCATGATTGAATGTTTAATAATGTAATTCAACATCATTCCATAGTCACAAGATCATGATTTTGGTAACATTACTCATGCGATGGTAATGAGTTAACTTTAATTCTTACTATTCTCAATGTGACTTGCTCCTTTTTGGAGAATGATGGTATGGATCACACTCGTACTGATATTGATAGAATACCTTTTTATAAGGGACCTATGAAAGTCATTATACTCAGTCAATCCACTATTTGTTAAGCAAAGCACTCTGCTGGTAATATGTGCAATTAATGATTAACAAAACACATCCTTTCGAAAAGTCTGGGATAAAGAAGCTTGAACAAGGTATTCTGACCAATACATTATTAAGAGGTCATAAAAGTTTTAATTAGGATTCAAACTTCAATTTTTTAGCAAAAGTTATATTGTTTTCATGTATAGTATTTAAGGAGGTGTGGTGGTTAGTAGAAAGATGCTGTCCTGCAATCCCAAAGGAATATGGTTCAAGGCCACCAGTTGCTCTGTGGGAGAAGTTTGGACAATTTCCTCTTGTGTGATTAACTGCCTGTGAAAACCCATTGGAGAGTCAGCTGTGGGACAGTTCCAGCTCTACAATACACAACAACATCAATAGTATCTAGAAAGGAAAAAGTAAACACATGTGTAATGTTATCTAAATTTTAAAATTGACTGGATGCTCTTATTAGCTTATGTTGTTGTTAATAAATGCTGTAGAATCAGAGTGAACCTATAAATGAGTGTCTTAAATGCAAAACTTTCATCTTTTCTCCAAGTTCATAGAGTTTCTGGAGGCAAGCTTTTTTGAAAGTGGATGTCACTACTGCTTCCAAGCCCGTTTTATTCAGGAGATTCACAAAAACCGGACCCTTGGGCCTTTGGCCCTCAATGCCCCAAACCCTTTTTAAATATGAGACCTAATCGAAGAAGCTCAGAGCCACACCCTAGTCTCAATCCCAAACCAGAAAATACATCTTTGCAGAATCTGCATGTTTCAGTTACCTTCTCATCCTGGAAATAGCCCCAGACTGGCAGCCATAAGCCTTTTAAATTATAGGAACCTTAAATGTCAGTGAGTTGAGTGTTTCAAAGTATAGAAGAATATACTAAAATAACAGGTTGCGTTAGCGCAAGTTCAGAAGATCACTGAATCACTATTATACTCTAAATCTTGATATTTAAAAAGTAACTTTCATGTACTGACTGAGATCCTATGGGGAAAAGGTTCTAAGTAGTCAACATCTCTGATGACCTCTTAAAGATTAGTGCCTGGAAATCAGGCACAGTCATGATGCAAGCAAGCTGTAATAATGAGGTCAGAAATCCCAAGAAAGTAACACCTATGAATTTTCTCAAAGGAGATGAATGGCCTGAAGCAGGCAATGAAACGGAATATAAAGCAAAATAATATGAAAACAGTAGGGCTATAGAAAGTTGCTCAGCATTGAAAAAAACATATAATGAGCCTGGCTATCAGGAATGATTTGCCTCTGATATGAGATGTAGATGTCTCACACTCTCAGCGGCCAAAAGAATGTCTAGGGCTAGGCATGGATAGGAAGACAACATAGGACAGATAGTAAAATGTCCCAGTGGACAAGTCGAAAGGTTTTAACTTCTATTATTCTTCTGATATCTGTGAAAGAAGTCACAAAAGTTGATGGCCTCCTTTAGCTAAACCCTTGGCTTGTTTCAAATTCTATCCAACAATGAATGTTCTCCCTTCTCTTGAGGATAAAGTTTGACTTGTATTCTTTTCAATAGAATTTAAATCCAGAAGTTAAATTACTGCTCAATTAACAGGTACTATCAATCTATTTCACATGCAAGCAAGATTTTACTGAAGATTATCCAAAAACGACTGGAACAGCACATCAACAGAGAACTGCCAGAAGTCCAGGCTGGGTTTAGAAGGGGTTGTGGTACTAGGGATATTGTAGCTGATGTTAGATGGATCTTGGCTGAAAGCAGGGAATAC